GTGTGTGTGTGTGAGTGTGTGTGTGGGTGTGTGAGTGTATGTGTGTGTGGGTGTGTGAGTGTATGTGTGTGTGAGTGTGAGTGTGTGTGTGGGGGTGTGTGAGTGTATGTGTGAGTGTGTGAGCGTGTGAGCGTGTGTGTGTGTGTGTGTGAGTGTGTGTGAGCCTGTGTGTGGTGTGAGTGTGTGTGGGGGGGGGGTGTGAGTGTGTGAGTGTGTGAGCGTGGGTGTGAGCATGTAGTGCTGTAGAGCATGTGACGTGTTCCAGTCCAGCTCCCAGCGCACAACCTCCCGTAACTCCTGCCCCAGAGGGTCCACCGCCGCCCTCCGTTCTCTGATGGCGGCACGTGTGCCATATCCTCAGATACACACACGGGAATACAAACAAGAGTAAATCTTACAAAGCAAAACAAGATACGCCAGCCAGACGTGGGGGTGCACGCCTTTTATCTCGACAGTCAGGAGGGCCAACGTCAGTTCAAACCAGCCTGGTCTACTTAGCAAGTTCCAGGCCAGCCAGGGCTACGCAGTGAGACCTTGGCATCTTTAGCCTGTCTGATGAATGGGATGTTCCAAGAGGCTCGGCACTACGTTTGGATAGGGCTTGCATAAAGTCCCTCTGACGCATGCTAAGGTTTTTGTTGTTGTTTTGGGTGTTTGTCTGGTTGGTTGGTTTTTCGAGACAAGGCTTCTCTGTGTAGTCCCTGGCTGACCTGTAACTCACTCTGTAGACCAAGCCGGCTTGGAACTCAGAGGTCCACCTGCCTCTGCCTCCAAAGCGCTGGGATTAAAGGTGTGCAAGCACCGCACTGGCTCCTACACTAAAGTTGTAATCCCGCTGCTTCCTATCTCCGAGTTCTAGGACCTTCTGGAGAACTGTGAACACAAATGAGCAGGTACCCAGAGCTAGTCAGGGCAATCAGGAATGCTATGCGTTAGTCGCTTTTGCCACTGTAACAAAATACCCCTGAAAACAGCTAACGGGAGGGAGGGAATGTTGAGCTTATGGTTTCAGGGGCTCCTGTGGGCGCTTGGTTGCCTCTCTGTGGGCCTCAGGCAGGGTGTCACAGCAGGAGTGGACACTTCCTACATGGGGCCCGAAATCGGAAAGAGAAGCAGCTGACTTCCAGGAACCCTCAAAGGCACGCCTCCGCTGACCTTCGCTTGTATTTTTGTTTTGAGACAGCGAGGAAGCTGGTTTGTTGTTCAGAGTTACCCTTGGCCACAAGTGAGAAGAGAACTAGGCCAGAATGCCACGGGTGCAGGGCAGGGGCCAGCAGGACTAAGGACGCAGCTGTCCCTCGGTGGTCGCGAGGAGCGGTCGGCAATGCCCACTGATCCACTGAGACTTACTTCCGACAGTACAGTCCAACAGCTGGAACCAGCGTCCTGGCCTCCCTCATCCCTCCAGCCTGTGTGAGCACACAAGCTAATTCACTTGCTTTGCTGCCTCAACTTTCTACTTTTGCACTCCGGCCCCGCATTGGCTTCTCCCTCCGCTTTGCTCTCTTGGAGTTTCAGGGAAGATGGTGCCAGACCTCCTGGGGCTGGAGTCAGAGGTGGCTGTGAGGGGCTTGACCTAAATGCTGGGACTCCAGACCTCGGCAAGAACAGTACACGCTCCTAACTGCTGTGTCATCTCTCTAGCCCCTAGACTATTAGCAGGTCCCAGGGCAGCTGGGACCACAGTGAGTCTGTTTTCCTCCTCCTCCTTCTCTTCTTCCTCCTTCTCCTCCTCCTTCTTTTCAAAGATTTTCAAAACAAACAAAAAAGAGAGTGAGAGAGAACTCGCCTCTCTTGTTTAATACCGACTTTTTACATTTAGGGGGCATTTGACAGTTCTAAAGAAAACAAACAACAACAACAAAAAACTACACTCATCTTCTCGACTGAGTTCAACAGACTGTGGGGGAGCCAAGCCTTCCCTGGCCCTCCTGTCTCCATTCAGGAAACCCCTAGTTGGCTTCTGGTCCTTGTCTGCTACAGCTCGCAGGCAGCTTGAGCCTTGAGAAAAAAAGATCTTTCGGTGTGCTGGGAAAACCGGGAGTCTAGGTAATACGGCGACCTGCATTCACCCAGGGCTAACTGGCTTCTATGGACTCCTGGACCACTTTTATTCTGAGAACATCAAGCTCTCCTTAAACTGTGGGTTAGGGGAAAGGAAAGAGTGTGAAACCACAAGCCAGGGGGCGGAGCAAGACAGGGGGCGGAGCAAGACAGGGGGCGGAGCAAGACAGGGGCGGAGCGAGCCAGGGGAGGAGGAGCAAGATAGAGGGCGGAGCAAGATAGAGGGCGGAGCTCTTCTGCGGTTCCCATCAAGCCTGCGTTTGATATGTTAAACAAGCTAAAGGCACCAAGAGAAGCCGGAGTAACAGAAATTGCAAGGTTGTAAAAAAAATAATAATAATAAAGTAGAATAAAATAAAGGTGGGCTGAGGGGCGGGTGTCCTGGTGTTTTCGCCTCCCGCAGCCAGCCAGCCTCTTAGAGTTTCTGATGTTAAAGATGGGGATGGGGGAGGTCGACGCTGGCTTCTAGCTTCAGTTTCTCCTACCGATTGACTTTTAAAGTTCTAATTGGGCTGACGCAAGTTTAAAAGCCAGCTTCCTGGCAGCCTCAATACACAGACCTGTCTATCCCACCTAGTGACTGTCCCCAGACAGCAGGGCTTGCAAAAAGCCCATAAGCCTTGGCAAGGGGAAAAAAACAAACAAACAACCAAACAAACAAACACAGACAGACAACGCAGACCCATATTTTGAAAACAAGAAAGTTGCCTTTATTTCAAGCTCACTGCTGAGTGCTGAGGCGGGACAGGAATAAATAAATGGCTGAGGGAGGCTGGGGTGTTGAGAGATCGGCGCTCGGCTCTACGTCTTGCAGCACAGTCCGCAGCCAGGATTCTTACAGCAGTGACAGCAGAATATGCAGGTGGGGAAGTGTGTGTCACGCTTCTTTCGTGTCTGGATCAGCTTTGGGAAGGAGGAGAGGTGAGCAGCCTTGCTTGGGCACGAGAAAGGCTGAGGATGGGGTGGGGGGGGAGGCCCAGCCGCTTACCATCCTGTCGGCACTGGATTCTGCCCTGTGCCACGGCTGGAGCGCTGCGGGCTGTCCGAGCTGTGAAAGCAGAAAAGGTACTGAGTATTACCAGCCAGCTTAGCTGACTTGTCTCTGCCAACTTGTTTCTGCCCCGGGGACTTGGGGACCTGTGTTCAGATGAAATTCCTAGAAGAGACCTCACTGCCCTGTCTCTTCCCTTCATTCCTGGGTTGTTCTGTTGAGCATCCCACTTCCTTTGCTCTTGTGCTCTCCTTCTGGACAGCACCGTCCTCACAGGTCTCCTGCATCTTATCTCCTAGAATCAGGTCACCGCGTAGCACGGTAACGTACAGCATCGTCAGTCTGGGTGGTGGCGCTCCCTCATGTCCCTCAGCAATCAAGGACCAAGTGTCAGCTACGCAGCTGTCCGCAAGGCTTGGCGCAGCAGTTCCTCCCCAGCCTCTCCTCAGTTCTAACGCTGGCTGCGCTTTTCAGACAGAGCCTGTGGCCCCCACGGGTCCTGTGATTGGCTTTCACTCCCGTGCCCACCCTGCTGTGTCAGCTCCAAGGCACAGATCTGGCATTTCCCTGCATAGGTGTATATGGACCACACGCATGCCTAGTGCCAAGTGGCTGTGTAGGTCAAGGCGCTCATCCGATTTTCTGGAACTAGAGTGAAGGATGGTTGTGAGCCACCTTGTAGGTGCCAGGAATTGACCCCAGCTTCTCTGCACAAACAGCAAGTGCTCTTAACCTGCGGAGCCATCTCTCCAGCCCCTTCTGTGCCATTTTCTTTTAAAATACATTGCTTGGCTGACAGCCTCTCCTCCCCACCTCTGGGCCTTCCTCATTGTCTTCTGTGCTATCCACAGTAAGTCTTTAAACCAGTCATTTAAAGGCTGCTTAAGGGATGTTTTGTCTGGCTCCCACTGTGTTCCTCCCCTTCACTTTCCACAGTAGGACGACAGAGTAGCTGTGCAAGGACGCCTGAGTCGCTGGAGTAGGGGCCTCAGCCCTTCCGCTCAGGACCGCCCTTGTCCCGTCAGCAGCTGCCATCACTTCCGAGCTGTCCCGAATACGAAGTGCTGAGGATCCCCTGGTGCCCCGTGGCCTGGCCCTCAGCGGGGCCTCGGATACTCACCTGTTGCTGGAGAATGGCACCACTGCTCAGGCTGGCAATGAGAAGCAGCAGGAGACAGGCAGCCTGGGTCTGAGTGCTCAGTGCCATGGTGCCTTCCGTCCTGTTGTGCAGGCCAAGGACTTGCTCTGGTGTAGAGGACCCAGTCCCAGGCCTTTATAAGGGACTGGTGGGAGGAGGGTCACCTGAGCCCCCTCCCTTTGGCCCTGACTCATTTCCAAGAAGACAGCGGCGCCGAACAGGCGGGAGAGATAAGCGGGAACAGAGTGACAGGGGACAGGGTTGTGTCACCCTCAGGCAGCAGAGGTGCATCCAGGGGGTGGGGCAGATAGGCCATGGACACAAGCCTCCAGCCAGCTACCTGTGACGTCACCCTGTGGATCTCAAAAAATTTCCCCTCCTTTTCCCCTCAACATTGATTGGGTTGATGAGCAAAAGTACAGAGGCCCACACCCCAACAGTGTCCTCAGAATGGCTGCCACTCACCAGGCACCTCAGAACCCAGCAACAGGGTACATGTGTGCAGAGGGCATCCCAGCAGGCGTCAGGCTCAGTGGCCAAGGGACTGGACAGATGCCCAATGTGTTTTGTCAGCTTCAGCCCCCCATGCGCCATGGTATCTGATGTCAAGAAACATGATGCAGCCGTCAGGATGGAGTCACCTTTTGCCTGTGGTGCTGGTGGCAGTCATTATTCCTCGACAACACGTTTCACAGCCCAGGGCACAAGCTAATTCACTCGCTTCATACGCCAGTGCATGGGACTGTGTCTTTCACATGACAACCGATTCACTTTGGCGTTAACAGCTGCTCCTTGGCCTCTAAGTGGCTGCTGCTTCCTCCTGAGCTATAGTCATCTTTAGCCTGAAAGTGGCTTTCTAGGCCCGGCTCCCTCCAAGCACAGGGCACACGGTGGCATGTCAGACTTGGGACTGGCAGAGCAGACTGTGCCCATCACCTAACTCCAATGCAGTAGAGCTACGCCAGACCCTTCCCAACTGCAATGCTGGGAAAACTTAAGACTGCAGAGGTTGGTATTGTGCACACCAAGGCTTTTGTGGCTGGTTCTCAGGGTACTATTGAAGCCTCTGTAGGGTCCTTGTTTCTGTCTACTACCCGGACCCCTCTGTGTACACAGCCCGAGACACTCTCAAACTGAGCCCAGGGACAGGCTCCTGGGCGCCATGGCTGATGGCCCACCCAGAGTCAGTCCAGTCTAGCGCCTGGGAATGCTTCCTGTCTGCTGCTGCTCCCTGGGGCTCCTTGGCTGCTCCACACGCTCCCAAAGAGGATTGTAGAAAGCAGTAAGGCCGGAGACAGGGTTCTCAGGGGCCCCCCGGGGTCCTGAGGCTGTGTCAAGGTAGGAAGGGCAGCAAGGTGAAACTGACAGGTCGGCCTGGACGCTGGGAGCACCGCAGCACCCCCCAGCAGTGGCTGCTCAGGGCAGGTTTCATCACCAGCCAGGGGCAGGGGTCATGGCACAGGCGCCAGAGATGCGCCGCAAGGCGACAGCCTGCCGGGCCAAGCCTGGCTTTCTGGCCACCTGCCCTCCCTTGGGGGTGGGGGGCTCAAGGCCAGGCCCCACCATTGGCTGGTGCAGAGGGAAGGGCTTCAGCCCCACAGCCCAGGGATACTCACTGGCCCTGTTTTCAAGAAGTACTGACCCAGGAAACTCCAGCCTAGCTCAAATACCAGGGGGTATGTCCTTGACCCCAGCTCCCATGACCCTAATCTGCACCCCAGGGTCTCAATGAAGAAATTAAGTTTTTTTTGTGTGTGTTAGGTTTTTGGTGGGTTTTTTGTTTGGTTTGTTTTTTTTAATTTTTTTATGTAGCCTTGGCTGTCCTGGACTTGCTTTGTAGACCAGTTTGGCCTCAAATTCAGAGATCCTCCTGCCTCTGCCTCTCTGAGGCTGGGACTAAAGGTGTGCGGCCCCATGCTCAGCTGAAATAAAGTAATTCCTTTGCTCACCCAGCCATCATCACACAGCCACAGTTTAACGGACGCTTAGACCTCAAGAGAGCCTAGGATTCCCATCTTGTGCCCAACACAGACAGACACACAGACAGACAAGGCGGGGCCACACTGGCCAGTTTATTGCAGTTAAATACCTCTCTATTTTTTTTGTCCATTTTCCATAAAGAAAATTAAAACACACACACGCACGCACGCACGCACGCACGCACACACACACACACACGCATACACACACATACACCCACACACCCAGAAGGGAGCAGGGATCCACAAACAAGAGGGTGGGGGACATGGCCTCCCTGCATAGGTCCAGGCCCCACGGCCCCACCCAAAGCTCCCTCCTTCCCATAAGCACCCTGTCTCAATACCTCTAGAGACCAAGGAGGCAGCGGGCAGCGGGGCCTCTGTCCTCCTCCCTTGCTCCTCCTGGTGAGCCCACCAGATGGGCTGCTGAGGACTGAGAAGGGAGGCCAGTGGACAGGTGGGCATTGTTTCCGCATGGAGGAGGGTAGTGGGCAATGTATCCAGAGAAATGCATTATGTCTCCTTGTTTTTTGTTAAAAATCTACTATAAAAAAACGCAGCTTGGGGAGGGGCGTCTCCCTCTCTGTGCTAAGGGCTGGGGGAGGGCAGCAGAGGCCGGCAGCAGCTGCAAGGTGGGCCAGTGGCTATCACTGCCGGGTACTCTCGCCCACCATTTCCAGGTTGTGCTGCTGCAGCTGGGCTCGAAGCAGGGCGTTCTCGTTCTTCAGCTCCTCGATCTGCAGGCACACAGGGGCCGTGTAAGCCAGGGGTTAGCCCTGGCCCGCCGGGGCTGTGGCTTCGCCGGTACCCACCTGCTGCCGCAGGAGCTCATTGTCCATCTGCAGCCGCTCTGCCTCCTTGAAGGTCTCCTGCATGCGCTGGTTGGTCTGGCGGAGCTCCCGGATGTAATCGCAGGCCTTGGACAGGATGCCCCCTTTACTCTGCAGGGGCAGGCAAGCGTCAGAGGCCAGGACAGCCCTGTGCCAGTGAGACCTCTGGAAAGGACAGGGACACTCACCGCTCCCGTTTTGCTGTTGTCTGCATGACAGTCTGGAATGATTTTTGAAAGCTGGACGATCCAGTTGTTGATCTTGTCCCTTCGTCTCCGCTCCACTGCAGGAAACAGCGACAGTCACGGCTTCACAGGCAGGCTCATTGAAGCCAGCATGGCACAGGACGTTCAGGCATGGCAACAGTAAGGGCCTCCCAGGGACCCTTGGGTGCTGCCTCCTCATGGGCCACATTGCTTCATGAGAACCCAGCCAAGCAACAATCCTCAAGTGCCATGCTGCTAGGACAGAAACTCACACTGACCGGCTGTTTTGTTGCTTGCCTTGCACACTCACACAAGCTGGCCTGCTGAAAATGCAGGTCTGGGCACTAGGATTCCTATTTCTGGGGGTTGAGGCGCAGAACCCTTTATGCAGGATCCAGGACCCCTCACAGCTCCTGTAACTCTTGCATGTCATTCTCCATATGTCCCCCAGAGACTCTGGCTTCTCTAACTTTGCTTTTCTCATCTAATTTTTTTTTTTTTTAATCCCCTTGGGGATAGTCTCATGTAGGCCAGGCTGGGCTCAAACTATGTAGTCAAGGACGATTTTAGACTTCTGACCCTCTTGCCTCCATTTCCTTAAGTAGCCACTATGCCTGGTTTTACTCAGAGTTGGGCCTGACAGCCCCATTCTATCAACTGAGCTACATTCCATCTCCTTTTCATCTTCAGTGTGAAAAGCTGATCATGACTTGCCCGTTTAAAATTCTCCTCCACACACAGGGCTGTGGCTCTGAGGCCTGGCCCTGGGGACTTACCTCCCTGGGAATGTGAACCCCCTACCTTGAAAGCAAAGCACGGCAAGTCACAGACGTGACTTAAAAGCCCAGGCTAATCCTCTAATGAACCTGTGCGGCCTCCTGTTGTTAGCTAGGCCGGGGACAGCTGTCTGCACAGGCTTGTGCCTTCCTCTGGCCCATCCTATGCTCAGGAGACCTGCCAACCACCACCTGACTGAAAGCCAGCTTCACAGCTTGGAGCTTCCCAACCCTTCCTGCCTCCAGGGCACAGGATCCCTACTGTTGGAGTACAGAGGACCCTGGCACCCCCAAATCTCCTCACAGGCCCCTCCTCTTGTCAGGAGGGCTACAGACACCTATCATATTTGTGGAGGGGAGGTGGGGGCTACAGCCTGATGGGTTGTGGGAAAACAGTCAGGGGCATTTCCTAATGAGGGCAGCAGGAATGGAAAATGGGGAAATCTCTTGAGAGGTGGGTGAGGGCAGGCCCCTTAAACTTTCAGACCTGAACTCATATCTTGCCCCTGCTGCCATTCCCTTAAGGGACCTCAGGACCCAGAAGCAGGTGGAGTCCACGTCTCTGCTTAGTCAGTCTACTCTCAGGCAGCAACCAGCCTGAGTGACTTCCTTTTCCAAAGCCAACTCTCCCCTCTGCCGACTCCCTCTTCACAGCAATGATTCCTTCGCTGTGATCTTTCCAATGCCTGCCAAGAACACGGCCATGCTGAATCCAGTAAGGGCTGGGTTACGCCTCCGTTAGGCTCAGGGCTAGCTCACTCACCATCAAGTATGGCATAATCTTCTGGAAACTTGGTGGAGGACTGCAGCACGGCAGAGTCTAGCCAGGGCCTAGAAGCACTTCCCACCATACCCCTTGGCAGAATGCTTGGTTCCCAGGGTTCTACAGGACTCACTCCAGGACTTGCCCACCCTCCTACAAGCCCACTCCTCTACACGGGGGCATCAGGTATGAGCCTCATCTGACGGGCACACCTCAACCCATCAGGGTCAAGGACAGGTATAAATGGCAGAGCTCCTTTGGTGTACATTTAATTTTGCAAAATGTAAAAGTCTGTGGCTGGGGTCCAGTGGACTCTGTCCTGGCTCTGTCCTGGTTGGTGCGCCTGACACCGCTGGAAAGATCTATGACTGGGCCCACACTAAATGTGATTGAGGGTGGGGCAACACTTTCTGGATGAAGCCCACAAGACCACAACAGGACAAACCTCCAGAGAGACTTAAACATTTGGCCAGCCTGCTCTACAGAGCGAGTCCAGGACAGCCGAGGCTACACAAAGAAACCCTGTCTCAAAAACAAAACAGAACAAAACAAGTTTCTGAGAGGAGGGAAGCCCTCCCAGGCTAAGAAGAACCCAAAAAAGATCAAGATCACACAAAACATATAAACCACCTGTGTGTGTGTGGGGTGTGTGTGTGTGTGTGTGTGTGTATGAG